ATATATATATATATATATATATATATATATATATATATATATATACACACACACACACACACACATACTGTGTTTAATTTAATAGAAATAGGCTTAAACTACCAAACTTTTTAAATAATCATACATGTGAATGAAGAATTACACATAGTGATGTTTCTACAGAGATAGAGAATATAGAATATATTTTGTTTATAAAATTGAGTGAAATATCCTGTAAAGAGCTTTTAGAATACCATAATTCAAAATCCAGGCGAGGAAACCCACATAGTGATGGGCAGAAAATTAAGATCCATTTGTGATATAATTGGTTGTTTTGTGTAACAACATTTTGTTCCTAAAGAAATATTGTTTAAATGGAAAACTGCAAGACCCTAAATGAGTTGATACCTAACAATACCAGTCTTATGCACAAGATAAATAAAGGATGCATTAAAAACTTAGATTTATTTAGCACGGTTCTACGCCACTTTTCTTAAGCTGATTTATAGTAATGGAGCAAATAAAACCTAGACAAGTGAAACCGTTGTGCTATGAATGCCTCAGTTGTTTAGGTCTTTCCAAGGATTAATGTATGTTTTTCCTGTGTATTTGGGGGGAGGGGTGTTGTTTGTTTGACTTTTCCACAGCGACTTGCGAATTGTTTAACCATTTAGACAAGATGGCATGGCTGGTGGATGTAGATATTTGCATTCAGGGGTCATTTTGTTCTGAAAATGTCAAATTCACAAAGTATAACTGTACGGGTTAATTGATATGTGTCAGATATAGGGACAAACAGTTACCACAGTTACCTTTGGAAGGTTTCCTCCTGTGGCACCTGGCATTCTTTGCCAGGAAAGCAGTTTTTATTGTTGTTTTTATTATCAAATTATGCACTGTTTCAGATTTAAAATACACTGTCTAGGTCAGCGGTTCTCAACTTGTGGGTCGCGATCCCTTTGGGGGTTAAACGATCCTTTCACAGGTGTTGCCTAAGACCATCAGAAAACACTTATTTCCGATGGTCTTAGGAACTGAGACTCCACACTCTTCTACGAGGCCATAGTTCCCCCCGGCAACTGGCAGCCTCCCCTGACCATCGACAACACAGGAGGGGCGGCGGTGACAAGAGACGATCCCCCGACATCCAGCCGGTCGTCTCCGCCGCTCAGCTGGCTTCCGGGGATTCCACCCGGCGCCCAGCAAGAGGGAGAGGCGGCCGTGGCGGGAGGCAGTTCCTCCGGCGCCTGGCTGACTTGCCACCGACGCCCAGCTGATTTTCGGGACTCCTCCTGCGTCCAGTGAGAGTGAGGGGCAGCTGAAGCAAGAGGCGGTCCCTCTGGCATGCTGCTGGCATGCCTCTGACGCCCAGCCGGCGGTAGGAACTTTCCCGGCATCCGTGTCAATGGAGGGAGGCGGCTGCGGTGCATGGCGGCCTCGCCAACTCCCAGCTGGTCCGCGGAAGTCAGGCGGCACCCCGGGGCGGCATACGGATGTTGGCTGGCCACTGGCTGCTCCTTCCCTGTCCCCCTCCAGTTCATGTCAAGCCCAGGGGCTTGACACACCACTTATAAAGTTTTCAGCGAGCCATTTCCAAAGCTAGGGACAACGCTAGAATTCAGAAATAATCACCCATTCAAAGCCATGCAAGAAATGGGTGAAGGGGGGAGAAAAAGAAAGAACGTGTGGAATTAAAAGTGCTTCTCCTCCTCTCCCCCACCGAGGCAGCTTTTTCCTGCGTCCCACGCGCATTTTGCAAGGGAGTGGGGCATTGGCACCGGACACGTTCCACTCCGCACGGTCCCCCAGGCAAATGTGGCAACTGATGGGCAGCGTGAGAGACAATGTAACACTCTGAACATTCTGAGCCATTGTGACGTTTCAAATCCCGCGAGCGTGAAGGTACCAACCCACAAAGCTGCAAGCGCCGCAGCAGGGATGGAAAGGGGAACCCCTCGCTCTTTCAACTCTCACACTGCTTAAGACTTCGTGTACGGCGAGCCACTGAGGCCAATTTCCTCCGTGAGAAGAGAACGCTTTCCTTCTGCTCCCCCCCACCCAAACTCTCCTCCTCGAAAGGGGTGGGGCTGAGAGACAGGAGCTCCTTGAGTGCCACGGCAGGCAGTTCTTAGGGAAATTACTCTCCTCTCTGACGGTTTTGAAATAAAATAATAAAATATACTAAGGGCAGTTTGGGATTCATTTCACTCCAAATGCAAAGCTGGGAGATATAGAGAATGAACGGAAAGTTGTTATTTTTATAACTGAATCTTTTTTGAATAACCAGGAAGAAGACGATCCTAAATTGTTGAATAGAATAGAATAGAATAGAATAGAATAGAATAGAATAGAATAGAATAGAATAGAATAGAATATAGACCAGAACAGAACAGAACAGAACAGAACAGAATAGAATAGAATAGAATAGAATAGAATAGACAATATGGAAGAGAGAATAGAATAGACAATATGGAATAGAATAGAATAGAATAGAATAGAATAGAATAGAATAGAATTATGTTCAATTTGTAACAATGAAAATACATCCTGCATATCAGATATTTACATTACGATTCATAACAGTAGCAAAATTACAGTTATGAAGTAGCAACAAAAATAATTTTATGATTGGGGGTCACCACAACATGAGGAACTGTATTAAAGGGTCGCGGCATTAGGAAGGTTGAGAACCACTGGTCTAGGTAGTGCAATGAAACTGTTAAAAGATAGGTTCTTAATGATGCCTATTGCTTTTTTCAGTGTTATTGAATTATCGAATCGTTGAGATAACAGACTTGACAAGAAGTCTAACTCTTGAAATAAATCTACTGGGGGGGTTGTCTACTATAGTGAGATTTTACTTATAGCTTCAGCCAATTATTGCATAGATATCAGCATATTATACTGATAAAGGAGAATATTTGTAGCTCAGGATTGAAATAAGGGGTCCTTGGTGCTCTCTGTGTTTCGCTGTTTTCTTGCAGAGGTTTCATTACCCAACTAGGTAACATCATCAGTGTTCCCGATGTAGGCATCAGTGCATTGATAGTGTTATCTAGTTTGCGTAATGAAATGTCTGCAAGAAAACAACCAAGGGCAGAGAGCAGCATGGACCTCTTATATATTATAATTAAGCTGAGATCATCCTGATATAAAGGCAGCCTCTGACATGTAGCATCCCATTTTGATATGGGACACTTTATTAAAAATTGTTATTCATATCAGAACATGAATAAGCATAGGAGTGCATACACACATTTATGCCATTGTGAAATGTGCTATGTAATCAACAAACAGTAAAAACTTGGGTTGTGAGATTCTTTAGTTTAAACAATTGTCCTTACCTTTAGGAAAGCCCTTAAGACCTGGCTTTTACCCCTGGCATTGGGGACTTGACTGAATGGGGAGTCTGCTCTATGGTTGTTTTGCCATGTGCTTAGTAGCCATTTTATATTTTATCTTTTGTGTTTATATATTGTCTGATTATTTTATGTGTTGTTTTTAAATTTATTATCTGTTTTGGTTGTACCCAGAGTCAAATGGGCAGCGTTATAAATCTTGACATAAATAAAAATAAATAAATTGTATTTTGTCCATTTCACAGTGAAAAGTTTCAGAGAAATTCCAAGTTCTTGCCCATGATTGAACAGCACTTAACCCAGTGTTTCTCAACCTTGACCATTTTAAGGCATGTGGACTTCAACTCTCAGAATTCCACAGCCAGCAATGCTGGCTGTGGAATTCTAGGAGTTGAAGTCCACATGCCTTAAAATGGTCAAGGTTGAGAAACACTGACTTAACAAACTTAAATTTGAACTATTTTACCAATCTTAAATTTAAATAAACTATTTTAACAAAATAAAAGGGTTAGAAGGGACCTTGGAGGTCTTCTAATCTAGTCCATCCCTCTGTTCAAGCAGGAAATCCTATACCATTTCAGACAAATGTTTGTCCAATCTCTTTTTAAAAACCTCCAGTGTTGCAGTATCCACCACTTCTGAAGGCAAGTCATTCCATTGATTAATTGTTGTAACTGTCAGGAAATTTCTCCTTTGTTCTAGTTCTAGGTTGGTTCTCTCCTTGATTAGTTTCCATCCATTGCTTTTTGTTCTGCCGTCAAGTACTTTGGAGAGTAGGTTTGACACCCCTTTTATTCATGGCAACCCCAGATATTGGAGCACTGCTATGATATCACCCCGGTCTTGTTTTTCATTAAACTAGAATCACTTAAATATGAACCAGCGGTGAGCTGCAGCAGCCAAAAAAGCCAACGCAGTCCTAAGCTGCATTAACAAAAGCATAGAATCAAAATCACATGAAGTATTAATAGTACTTTATAATGCCTTGGTAAGACCAAACTTGGAATATTACATCCAGTTTTGGTTACCATACTGTAAAAAAAAGAAGTTGAGACTCTAAAAAGACTGCAGAGAAAAGCAACAAAGATGATTAGGGGAACTGGAGGCTAAAACATGGTTTTAGGAATTGGCTATTCTCCACTAGGATTCCCAAGTTCCCCCTCGCAGTTACTACTATTGAATCAGATACCACCTATTCTATACCTGTGCATTTGGTTTTCCTTCCATAAATGTAGAACCTTACTTTTATCACCATTGAATTTCATTTTGTTAGATAGAGCACAGTGTTCAAATTTGTTAGGATACTTCTGTATCTTGAGCCTATCTTCTGGAGTGTTGGCTATTCGTTCCAGTTTCATGTCATCTGTAAATTTGACACCCTTCTATCCCCTGGTCTAAATCATCGATGAAGATATTGAAGAATACTTGGCTGAAGACAGAGCATTGGGGTACCCCACTGTATACTTCCCTCCACGTAGATGCAGTTCCATTAAGACTACACATTGAATGTGGTTGGTCAGCCAATTATAAATCCATCTGGTGGTGATGCTGTCTTGCCTTTTTCTATCTTATCAAATAGGAGGTTTGTGGTCTACTTTATCAAATGCCTTACTGAAGTCCAAGTAAATTATATCCATAGCATTTCTCTGGAACAGCCCTTACCTGTTCTTGCATTTGCCTAGAAGTCTTCCAGAACCCTGTAATTTCAAAGTGTGACTCAATTAAAACTCAAGATTGATAAGGATACAAAGCCTAAAGGATTGCCCTAAAATCACTCCATTTTTAGCTCATCTGTTTCTAATAAGATCGATTTTGCATATATTATGCATATAAGATTGATTATGCATATATTTCTGAATATATTTCTAGAATAACAGCTCAGTGTTGCTTCACAATAATATGGATTGTATTTTGGCAGTTCTGCTCTTTTTAATAATTTAATCGATATTCAGTTTCATCTATTTTCTGCTAGACTGAGTGTTATAACAAGCTCTAATGAGTGTTAATAACCAATAAAAGTAAAATACTGTATCATTTTAGTATAATAATATTCCAGAGATTGTGCTAAGGAAGAATAAGATGATGAGTTTTGTAACTTTAATTGTACTTGTTTCCTTTTATTGTGCTATGTATTTGTTTTATTATTTTCTTTCCTTTAAAAATTCTCATTGTTGCATGGATTAAAAGAACTATGTAATTTGTGTAGTTAAAGCTTCCTCCCATACACTCAGTGACTTGCTGGTTTTGTATCCAATGAAAAATATGGACTGGATTTATTGTTAACTAATAATAGTTAACAGTAAAATGGTTGAATGGTAAATGAGCTCTGTAGTGTTTAAGGTACTGATCTAGAAACCAGGAAGCTGGGAATTCTAGTCTTGCCTCAGGACTAGATGGATGATTTTGAGCCAGTCACTCTCTCTCACCCAACCCAACTCATAGGCTTTGTTGTTATGTGGAAAATAGGAGGAGGAAGTAGTATTAGGTATTTTTGCCACTTGAGTTACTTATAAAGAAATAAAGGCAAGACTAAAGAAAAAGATCTAAATAAATATTCTCCTATAGGTATGTTAATTCTTAAGTGAATAACCAGAAATATTCTTGCGTTAGCAACCAAATGAAAGATATATGTCACTTGAAATTGACAAAAACCAATGATTATGGTGTGAAGTACGTTAATTAAGGTTTAGTTTTAAGCTACTAGAAGTAGCAGTCTCATTAACATACTTAAGCACAATATTTGGAAACCAAGCCTCTGCAATCATTTATAGGAAGACCAGTGGCTAATAGTGTGATCTGTGTGTGGGTAACCTAATGAGATTCTTTAATATAGGTAAACATAATGTGCAATTAAGTACAGTAGATAAGTAGATTCATAGCATGTCTGGTGCAGGTTTGCTTCTGTTCACTAAAAGACACGTAGGATATACTGATATTGTAAGTGTTTATGCAGACAGTCTAAACTTCTGCATGTGGTGGTCCAGCTCATGCTTCATTGTAAGAATCACGTTAATTGCCATGGCATGATGGTAGCATATTTAAATAAAGGAACTCCTGCTGTTCTTTGTTTCTACTTTATAATCTTTCAGGTTTGACTATAGGATGGCAGACTATATTTGGGGGATGTTATTAAGAATTTTTTTAAAAAAATACAATGTTATAATTATTTCTCTTTCTTTGTTTCAGGTTGCATGCCTTGGACTTGATGCTTGATTTGCATGACTCCTAATAATCAGGTGCTGGATTTGCCAGTGAGCAAACATGGCCCACCACTCAGTGAATATTAATGGCAGTTTTACAGGTAACGTTTTGCCTTAGTTGTAAGCAGTCCTTCTTTTAGATGGGAAACTGAGCCTAATCTTTTCTAAATTCTATAAATTGATCTGAGCCTGTGTGTGTATCCTTCAGTTTTGGAAATGTTAACACAAAACCCCTACCTTGAAATTCCCATTTTAATAATGTCTGTGCTTGTGTGGCCCTTGCATGGTAACTGGTTCATATTAATCCAGGGTGCAAAATGCATTCTTGATGTCTGCAGTTTTCTGTTCTATAAAAAAAAGGGAGGTATTTCAGTCCATAGAGATATGAAACATATTTTCATTATGAGAACATTTATAGTTAGAAATATGTGGACAATGGAGTGCCTTTTATTCTTCCATGTTCTACTTGTCCTACAAAGGTGCTATTCAAAAGGCAACTGGGCTTTCTTCCTTTTTTTCTTGAAGATGTTTAAGATAAGATAAGATAATCTTTATTGTCATTTTTATACTGTGGGCACAATGGCACACATCAAAAATTAAATTTACCGTAAATGCCGGCGTACAAGGCGACCCGCGTATAAGACGACCCCCGTCTTTATAGCCGGGCTGCATTCCTAGAACGTCGTCTTATACGCCGGAAACTACCAGTATTTCCGGCGTATAAGACGACTTGGCGTATAAGACGACCCCCGTCTTTGGCGCCGATTTCAGCACTCGTGGAAGTCGCCTTATACGCCGGCATTTACGGTAGTTGCCCGCTCTCAAAGTGAAACACATACATGACACACACTTAAACATACTATGAACAACATATCAAGGAAAAGAAAAAAGAAAAAAACCCCAAGAAAATCCCTTTGCCTTTTTAATAGCACCTTTGGGATAACCATGACCTGGGTGATTGAGAATCTCCATAGATACTTGTCCCATATTTGAAAGAATTAAAGGAAATAGCTTTGTCCACCTAAATTGAAGAATAATAGGCAAGTTAATCATAGTCAAACTAAGGATTGTACCTTTAGAATGTTCCTTAAGTTGCAAACATGTCCCCACTTATATTCATCATTGTGAGTAGATCTTACAGGAAGACCATCTGTGTTGACTTGCTTCCAGAACCATCTCAACTAATTTCATTCCCCCTACCTACCCCCTAACTCTTGCATCCCTTTTTTAATTAACAGCTAAACATACTTGTCTTCTCTTTTTCTCTATTCCTTTATATGTTGATATAGTTTTCCTTAAATCAGAACTGCTGGCAAGCCCAGCAGCATGTGTTTTTATAGTCCCTAAAACCTTTAGGCTCTGTTTATAAGTGACAAACAATTACATTGGTTGGGTGCGGCCAGTGAATCCTTAATGGTGGCCACCATTAAATATCAAGTTGATAGTTAATTATGCCTATGTAAATCTTGAGGAAGCAAAACAAGAAATGTATGTGGTTTAAGTGAGAGATGAGGAAATGATTAGCACATAGAACAGTGTTTTTTTAAACTTGTCAACTTTATGATATGTGGAATTCAACCACAGAATCCACCAGTCACCATTTCAAATCTTCATTTAAAGAGGACTGGCCATTCTCTATAGAAAACCAGAATGTCTAAAACACACCATTAGCTCAAAAATTGGTCTCGTATGTTCCTTATAGTAGTGTGCTAATTAATTGTTGAGATAATGTATACCTGTTTACATTCATTTTATGCATGCTGCTATATAGAACATTACACTTAAAATGACAGTATTGCCTTGTTTCACCAGCACTTGTGCCTGTACAATTACATTTGCATAGTTGTGCAAAACATTAAGGACAAAGCATTTTGACTTTATTCTCTCTTTATCCAAAGGATAACATTTCTGCCAGCCCTATTCAATTTGGTGTTGTTAGAAACCTTTTTGTTACTCTGTTCTCCTTTCCATTGATGACATCAGTTTTTTAAGAAGCTACAATTTCTCTTTGGTATATATTTGCATATGTTTAGAAGGCCAGGAAACAAAATCTATGACTTCTCAACTCAGAATCTTATTGATCTGTTAAGAATTCCATATTCAACTTTCATCATACCTGATAATAAATCCTTTTAGTAGTTAATGATAGGAATTGCAATCCTAATGTGCATGTTATTAAGTTGAGGAGTTACTTAGTCTCAGTAATCAAACTTCATTTACATACTGTACTTTTACTTCACTCTTTGAAAATAACTGTGTGGTTTTAAGCCTGTCACTTCATAGGAAGGACATCTAGGTAGAGTCCCTGATAATTAAAGGGAGGAAACTATTTCAGGTAATATGGCCTCAAACTATTTGAAAATGTAAAAAGCAGGCCTTGAATTTAGCTCAGACTTACATGGGTCCCATAATCCAGAAAGGGACATAATATTTTTTGGTGCTGTATGATCTTATCCAGGAAATCCAATTACATAATTATTTTTTCCTGCAGTATTTATATATGCATTGTTTTGTCCTAGTTCCTTTGTTTATAAATATTTGTAACTGACTTACTATTGGGATTGATTTAAGCTAGTTCAGTAAAAAAACGGAAAACTAAATAAAACCTTTAAGAATCCTAAGGTCTTTGCCATCTGGATAGAAAGCAATTTATAAATCAAATAAATAACAAGTTAAGTAAATAATCTTCTTTAGGATTTAAGTATAAGATGTTAAAATAATTTGAAGGATCACAGAATTCAAATTTTGTTCAAAAAGGTTTAAATTTTACAATGATAGAAGTTGCTTTAAGTGTTGGCACTCATCAGAAGGATGAGAATCTTAAGAGAAGCAGTCTTTCTTTTGGGAGCAAAATTGTGCATGGAATTTGTGGGTATAAATTTGTGGTATAAAATGTGTTTCTTTACTGTCCAGTAATAAAGAAACTCTCTTGCAATCATTCACTTACTAGTAAGAAAAGAAAATTCTTCTGTTTAAAGGGTAAATGTGATTTCAATATATGCATAAATTTTGTGCTTGCATTTTGCATAGTTATCATGTATTTTTTTTGTCCAATCAAAGTTTTTTAAAATGTAGATATAGTGTAAGTGCTTTGTAAACACGGCTAATATAAATATTGCTTTACATGTATAGCCTATCATGATTTAATGTTTCATCTAGCATTTCAACCACAGTTAGCTTGTCTCAATCTGATTGACTTTTGTGTAAAACTGAAGCAGAAATTTTTAACTCTGCTACAGTTAGCTTCTTTTTCTTTCTTTCTCCTGTGAAACTCTGCTTTGCTATAGACAAGTATATTATAACTAAGGAATTAAGTGGTCTGTCCAAGTTTCTAGGCCTGTGTATAATTCAAATTAGCCCATTACTCACTGGGAGTATCTTAAAGTTCCTAGATGAAAAGTTTCACATCATGCTTTGCTTAGGGACTGTTGAGACTTGTTTTATTCTGTACACCCTTAAGTCCTTAGTTCAAACGTGTTGAGCTTAGTTTTCATATGCCTGTTTGTCTAAATCTTGAGAATTTCATAATAGCATTGGTTTCCCTACACATCTGTTATTATATCTCTCAGCCGGGTAAAGGAGTCTGGTCTTGTAATAATAATAATTGGGCGTTGAGAGCTTTGAAACAGGTTTCTTAATTGCTTTGTGATCAAGGAGTGGAAAGTCAAGCTAAAGAGGTGAAGGCTTCCCTCAGAATCCATTAAGGTGTAGAAAATGACCAGAATGTTTGCTTATCGATTTCATTGCTGGAATATGTGCTGATTTCAGAATTTGGTAGTCTTAATACAAACATCTAGATATAAGTTTATTTGAAGGAACATTCCCATATTATGCAGCTAATGGTGAGTGCTGAATCTTTAATTGCATGTTTGAAGTGGTGTTGTTATTTTTGTGCATGTTTGTAAGGAATACTGATGGGAATCTGCTGGTTAACAGTTCTGTGTGATTTTTCATCTCTGTGAAATCACTGTAAAAATATAAAATATTTTTATGTGTCCGTTGAACACTATAAGACAGCATGTGTAAACATCAAAAGCATAATTGGTCAAGAAAGCTTAAAATGAGATGCTCTCTCTATATGTTTTATGAGGTTTGCTGTGATTTCATATGCTACCTGAATATATTTGAAAATGGCTATGTCATTTTTCAGCTTGGCTGTTAATCTGTAAATATTTTTTTGTTTTCTATAAAGCTGTTGATTAATAAATTGTATAAACAATGATTTGGCTCTGTTTTAAACAATATTAAAGAATCTTTGCCTATGTTACATATGACGTCATTAACACAATGAACCACCTATTCAACTGAATGACACTTGCTAATAGTAAAGAAATGAGAAATTCTATTATCTTGAGTATTTAAATTCTGTGTGAACATACAATCTAATTCTAGTTGGACTTTGGATTTTATAACATAACATAAAATGAAGTATATTTCAGTCACTTCCATCTTGTAAGCAATTTAGTTCTATTCGTTGTTCCTTCTATTTCAGTTTTCTGCTTCCAACGCAAAGTACATTTAAAAGAATTGCTTCTCACTTTTGATCTGTGGGGAGAGAGTGGAGCAGGCAGAAGAATGTTCGGAGTAGATTTACTTGAAAGGGTACAGATCAGAATTTCATCACTTCTTTCGTGTGTGTGTGTGTGTGTGTGTGTGTGTGTGTGTGTGTGTGTGTGTGTGATTCTAAAAGTCATCAGCATAGCCTGAAAGAGATATATTTGATCCAGTGCTATCAGATAACTTTTGTGTAGCTCCAAAAGTTTTTCCTTGTTGAGGTCCTGGTAGGAAGGCAATTTCAGGGCATCCTTGAGAAGGCAGATTAATGGGACCATTTTCAAGAGGGATTCAGGCCTGGCAGGATCTAGGCAAAGGAATTCACCCCTTTTGCTCCTCTTAACCCTCTCGGCTGCCACCGATTCCATTGATCATGGCATCCTGAACAATCTTTGGGAATCAAGGGTTCGTAGTACTGTGCTTCCATTCCTTCCTAGCGGATGATTTTGGTGGTGTTCAGAAGTGAAGGGAGACCAGGAACCTTTCACAGTGGGGTTTGATATTCTTCTCATAACTTTTAAACATTTAGCTGAAGCCACTAGAAAAAGACCATCTGTTAATTTGAAGTGACTCTATTCTATATTATAACCCTGGGCTCATCCAGTGATGTGGTTGACATTTCGCCTTAGTGCTGAAATCCATGCAACCTGAATGGGGAGGAACAGGCTGTCGCTGAAGCCAAGCAAATTGAAGTTGCTGCTCATTCAATACAGTTCCATCTTGCATTTTTGCTGAAAATAGAGAAAAGCTATGACTTATGAATTTGATGATTGAAAAAGAACTAAACAAGGGG